TAACATCCCGACACCAGCTGGTCTGTTGGACCCTTTTGAGCTATTAATTCAGAGCACTATTGCTTTAGCCGCCTTGTTCCATAGTTTTACGACTTGTACTTTTACTATGCGGGTTATTTGAGGATGTTCTATAGAGTAAGTATTTTTGATTTACGCAGCAACAGAAGGTGTGCTCTCGTTTCGCTACCAGATCGTTGCATCTCCAACGGGTGCTCATGAAGCTTCTTGGTGTAGAAATTTGCTCCTTATTGCCATCGCAGGATCCGCGTAGTTTTGCATAACCACGTGTATCTCACCACTGTATTCAGCAGTGCGGCCGTTTCGGGTTGAATTTGATTGTCGGTGTCCTGGTCCCGCTGGTCACAGCTTGTGAAGATATGACCAAGCTAGCACCACCGTGGATTTGGGTGCAGATGATTGTGGTTGTAATCACCATACAACATCGTAAGCTCACAGTGCGATCACTGCAGCATGTGTCGCGCGTCATTTTGATGCGTTCGCTAGGATAGGTTATAAAGTGAAGAAGGATTTCGGTTGTTAGATCATAGTGCAGCTGCTATACGACATCATCCCCAATGTAGTAATTCACTTTGATGCATGACTCGACAGGTCGTAGGGGTTATGCTAATCTGAAGTTTTCCTAAAGGGGTCAAAGGACTGGGTTACCAAATTGTGACCTATGGTCCCGGGTTTGAACCGCTCCACCGTCGCCCGTCTTCCCCACTTCTGCATTTTCCCAGGTATCCTTTGTATGGCCGTGGCCCCCTTCCCGAAAGTTGACTGCACATTCGTATTTTCAATAAATAACAAAAGAAGCGAAAAGACAAAAAGGAAACCGAGTTTAGTCTCTGCAAAAGAGTTCACTCCCCAGATCGGTAGCGGTGATCGGTCACATCTTCGTTGTGCAACACGAGAATGAATTTAATCTTGTTTAGATCCAGGAACGGGTGACTTTCACCTGTTTTCATCACCGGGCAACGTATCCATGATACTAAAATGCCTGGGAACATGAGTGTATGTTTGGGGATTTCCTGAATTCGTTTGTTTTACAGGCTGTATTGATTCCACTTACTTTTTTCTGATGTATATATGGATTGAACCGATTTTATTATCAGATTATTTTTGTTAATCTGTTTGTACAGCGGGTTACCTCAAACAATAATGGAGGTCGTCATTATTGCTATCCCCATTTGACATGCGCGGTGGACACGGAAAACATCCGCCGAGTGTTCAATGACTGTCGCGATATTATCCAACGGATGCATCTCCGACAATACGAGTTACTATGATCTCATCATCTCCGTGGAGTGGCCTGACGTGTTTCTTGCCTCGTTCCGTCTCGCCTCATTTACCACAATCTGGCAATCGTTCTCCACGCGTTCGCATAACGCGCCCGTACAACAACAGCCTCTCTGGGTTTTCTGGCTCCAATCAGGCATCAAGCAATCCCATGTGGTTTCCATCTGTTCGCCACGACCGACAGTATCCTCATTCTTTCACATGCCGGCGAAATCTTCAACCATTTTCGTCCATCTCGCACAAAGAACAGGCAATCCATTCGTGTCATTCGTGATCATCATGCACAGTCCACCACAGAGCCCTTATCCAACTAGCTTTCCCGTCCTCTCCTTTTTCATTTTCTCTCCTCTCATTTTTTTCTTATTCCATCCACGTCCTCGTTTGCTCAACCTAGGTGCTTGGCATACGTACTCCCGTTGTCAAACCGTGCTGTTTTTTCAGCGGATCCAGTTTGAATAGCCCGTTCCACAGACTTCCCACGTAATTTCATAGCACTCCAGACCGAACAATACACAATACTAGATACTGGTCTGTGCATGACGGACTAAAGAAAAATCCTCACCACGCCTTCAATTACTTACTCGGTTGCGCGCAAACACACACGTCGCGTCTTTCTGTTTTGTTCAGAGTACGCCCCTCGTCAGAAAGCGCACACAGTTCAGTCAATGGTGTCGCTTTTTAGGGTTGTCAGAAGCAATCAGACTTAATAGATTGGATTTACGCGTGCCCGTAAATCTGCCTCTCCTCCCACATCCAATGTGCATGATCCATCATCATCTTTATCATCGTCCGAATACGTATCTCGTACTGATCGAGCTAGGTCGACTGAGGAGGAACCCGTCTACCTCTGTCGTGTGCTCGGATCAGTTTGAGAGGTTCGTCAGAGCTGTGAGCGAAGTTGTTTATGCCTGCCCGTTTGGTGCCCATCCTACAGCACCATTTCCCTCGGGAACCCGGATTCCCTCTCCCGTGTCCCCATGCCTCATGCCGGTTTCTCTGCTGCTGTACCCCCTGGGACTATTTAGGTCTTTGTCGGCAATTCGTCCATGCCACATTGCGCGCAATTTACCCCCGGCACCCGCCTATTTTCCTTTTCCGAATTGGCAAACATCCGGTATTGTTTTGCCTATCAAACGAAGAGAGGGAGAGTGCATGTATGTGCTCTGGCACATGCCTGTATCTGCAGATGCTATCGACCCTCGAGCTAGCATTGTGTTCTTTATTCTAGAGTCATTGCATAAAACGGTTCTCTAAGTGCATCCCATTTTCCCGGATAATTGATCTCCCTAGTTAAATTCTTTTTCTTTTCCTTTTGATCACAGCAATGTTTTGTGTGACCTCGACTTCTTGATTTTATTTCTCATTGGTGAATTTCGTTCTCTTGTTTTCGATGTGATGGTCTACTTTATTCACTGGTTTTTTTGATTTGCCATCATATACTAATATTTCCAACAATTATGCCCAACCTCATACGCGCTCTGCCGGTCACGCATTCAAACCAATTATCCCCCCTTGTTCTACCCACTCCCTTTATGTCATGGGCTACAGATGAGCACTTTCCCATTTATCACCATACACTCGATAAACAGACACAGCTGCATGTGTCGCTGTTTGTCAATTCTATCTTTTCCAATAACACGATTCCCGCTGAGAAATCCGCTGACCGGAATCTCACATATGTGAGCTAATTTCAGACACGCGCCCCCTTCACTCGTTCCAAACCATGTACAGCGAATTCCGAACTTTGAAAACTTTTTTGTTGTTGAAAAGGGATCGATAATCCCATAGACCGCAGTGAATGTGCCCCTCCAACAAAGTGTATTTCCAGTGCGCTCCTTTCAATCCCTTATTAGGTACCGTGCTGTTTGTTGGGGCTGACGCGTTCTTGGAGTTGATTTATTCACTGCCTCCTTGATTTCCCACGCTCGATGCATGCATGCCATGGTGTGTAGATTAGAATACTCGAATGCCCTCCCGCGTGTGTTGGACTTCTTTGAACCCCTACAGCCGCTTCTGCTATCATCATGCTAATGTGTTATCTTAAGTTCCACTCGTGCGCGGCGCGCGAAAATTTTTTCCTGTGCAATGCGTCTTGTTCTTTTGGTCCCTATCGTCTCTTCCATTGTTATGCTTTTGGTGAGCAAATCAGTGAAAATGCTGGCGACGACGAGCAGGACCCATAGAGTATCAGTCCACCGTCGTCATCATTGTTGTTGCTGTTGTCGTTGTTATTGTTGGTTGTTGCTCATTTCCCTTAAACCAGTCATTTGCGTTTTGCTTCTCTATTCCTTCTCCTCTTACACCTCGAGATGATCATGGCGCGCTCATTTCTTTGCTTAGCCTGCATGTGTGTGCATTCGCACATCAGGTGACTGACAGACGCACATACATACACACACACACACACACGAATACTTGCGCGCTTTCATTCTCTTGGCGGTTGTTCTCAGTTCGGATCGACCCTCTCCTCCCCCGTTCCATTCGCACAAGCAGCCTCCCGGAAACCCCACCGTCACACGTCTCCCTTTCTTTTCCCCGTCTCTTTTTTTTCGTTTTTTTTGTTTCTTGTCGTCGCCTGACTTCTGTGGCATTCATTGCGGCGCACCGTGGCTTAGCTTCTTCCTTTTTTGTATACCTTGAACTTATCAACAATGCCCGTTCTGATTGAAAAACGTGACTAGCTGTCTTCCAGTTGTTACATCCGCGGCTACGAAAGGTTTTCAAGTGGTTAGTGGCGCGAATCATCGTACAGCGAAACAGAGAAGCGAACTTCACTGATCGCTGCCAAACTTGCAGTGCGTATGCACTGGGGTTTGATGGACAGGTACTGTTAGGGTGTCCAGCCACTTAGCAGGAGAACGATTAGGTTTCTCAACCAAAGCCTTTAGTTCTGAAAGAACCTAACCACAAGGCAGTGTGTGAGGCGAAGTGGAGGCCTATTTACCTGAATCGATCATTCCTCCACTATTTTTTATCGACTGAAACAAATTCTAATCGAACCCCCAACCTGGAGGACCAGGAGACTGGACTTCGTCTGATCTCTACCCATTGACCTTCCAGGCACGATTAGATCTCCTGGCTTTATAAAGCCATCCTGTGTAGCTCTTTGAGTCAGAGAGGTACATAAGCCATCGCACCACGTCAAGCTGGAGTTTTGTGATGGTGATAGTGTTGCTCTCTGACTAGACAAATTGAAAATCCGTTTGACAGCCTCTATCTTGATCTGCGTTGTGCAGTAAAAATAATTCAGTGAATTTCGTACCGAGTAAGTAAATAAAGGAAGGAACCGACAAAGTGCACTAGTTTGGTCAGCGCATAGTGTGCTCTTATTGCCCAGACACTTCCACCTACTCTGATTCATTAAGAAACCACAGCGGCAAACTTCGCGGTCCTCCGTTCCTTGTCCTGTCCATCAGTGTCGGTCGACCCTTGCTCGTAAGCTAGTTTCAGTTTCATTTTTTACAACCATTAACGATGCACTTTCGTGCGCCGGTTTTGGTTGCCCATTTGGATAAAAGAGCGAAATGAAGATTGGAATGTCGAAGCAAATTCAAGCTAGTTATATGTACATATACATACATACACACCATGGATTACTAAATATTCTGAGCTTTCTTGCAAAATGCAGGGTCACCATTGTTTAATTTCCCATTTAATTTCTCTTGCATATCACCTGGTTCACCATTATCTTGAGGTTTAAATTGCAAACAGTACCTTGCAGTATACAATACCTATATATCAAAAACAGCTAGTTCAATTACGGTGAATTTTCCTTCGAAATCCCGCTTTATGTTAATCTCGGTGTAATTAACTGGCACGCTTCCTACCACCCGTACCAAACTCCGCAAAAAGGGGAAACCGTAGATGTTCTTTAGAGGCCTGACTGAAGTTTTTTGGCTCTGTAGAATTATTTTTTAGCAATAATGAAACAAAAATCTCGATGCCAAAACTGTATCACTCCAGCATACGACGCTCGAATTTTGCATGTGTGTGCGCTCACCTTTTTCAGCGTGCTACCGTCACTCGTCCCGCAGTCACCTGTACAGATAGTCAATCAGAGTCCGATTATGAAAATGCAGCCTCAATAGGCAATTCGGCTTCCCCAGTACTGTACTGTTCATACGGAGAGACGCGATCTATTCTATCAATCTACCGTTTGCGCCTGCAGTTAGCTGAAACACATCATTGCACAGCAAATCATACAGTTTTTCTCTGAATGCCCATGCAGCAGCATAACTTTATATACCAACATGTGGTCCATAAAAAAAAACTAAACACAATTGGCGAAAAGCATTGCTCTTGATGCAAAAGATCGCCAGCTTAGAACGGTTTGCTTTTTTCGTTTAGAACCCTGTTCGGCTATTGAGCACTATGATTGTACGTTAAGTTACCCTACATCCTATGCTGCCTCGTCCTGGAAGTCAGGATCCAATATCCGAACACGGCATCTTCAGTTCTCCGTTCCTCGTTTTGGCTTGCTCCCTCGTCTTTTCAATCTGTGGTAATTTACGGTTGGGCGGATTTTATCTGGGTATTCATCGGACCCGCTGCAGCCATCTCATACGGTACAACAAAAGACTATCTATTCCTAACATACTTTATCCGATCGCATCGTTACTGATACGATGCTCTCAGTATAATCCTGCAATGCTGCCCAGACAGCCGTTGTCAAAACAAATAGTTGATGGTCATTCTCTGCACTGAGAGTCCTTGATCCGACATCAAGTACCGTTATGCTACACAAAATGGAAGCGATTTGTTGTACCAGCTCCGAAGTTGCCATCAACTTGTTAATGTTAATCTTGTTGTATTTGAGCACTGAGAGTCCTTGCAACACCGCCTGTTATCCTACACCTTATTTAGGCCAGGCTTTCAACCGTCTTTCAGGTGTCACTGACGATCAAGGCTTGGTTGCAGGGTCTTACTAGCGGCATCAAGAAAATCCCGTATTGAGCAAGCTCTACTACCGTCCTCTCAGACTACAAGGCTG